GGGCTCAGCTTTCAGCTCCTGCTCCCAGCCAGTAGACTTCTGTTCTTACCAGAGGTATTAACAGCAGTAATCCACACCGTCTCTGAGCATTATCTGTGTGCGGCATCCTCTTCCTCTCCCCCTTGCCTTTGCATGTATGCTTCCATGCTCAGCTCACTAGTGTGTGTTCATGTCCTGACTGATGAACTTGCACCATCCTCGTTTCTTCTTGACACATGCCCCTCCGTGCACATCTCATCTCCCTATATCCCATGGCATATGTGATGCCCCACACAGAGGCCACCCAAATTACTATGGGGCCATGCACTTCTTGCATATCTGTCCCTATAGCCCAACACACTTTATGTACAACTCACTGATGCACTCTCACACACACATGCTCTGGGCTTGAGCATGTCTGCATCTGTTTCCCATGCATGCACATCTCACTCATATAAACTCACATGGGCTCACAGTTTTCTCATAACAGTCTCATCACCTTCCCTCACATGCTCTGCACCAAATTCTATCTCAACTCTGCATGAGCAGCCTACTCATGCTGTAGTCTGTGGGCTCACGCCATTTCTCCTAGCCCATTCTTCCATGACTCCTTGTGGAGAGTGTTGGGCATGCTGGTCCCCAGGGACAACTACACCGTGAGAGTGATGTTCCAGTTCAAACCCTTTATTAAAAGGAGCTTGTCACAGCTTGAGCAGTACCTATTGCAAGGACTCATTTGGGCTTGGTACTGTCTCAGTATGAAGAAGCCTTTGATAAAAATGGGTGAGCTGAAACCGTCTGCTTCCACCAACAGATCTACAAGTGTTGTTGTGGTTTGTCACACCTTTTAGAACATGTGGGGTAGCTGTGAGCACAGGGCATCCCTGTGAACCAGCAGGCTTTGGCATCTCTGGGAACACTTTGGGTCACTCAACTGAGTCACAGGCTCCAGTGCCTGGCCATGGCTGCTGAGGTCCCAGATAACAGAGAGCTGAGGATGGATGGATTGAGTGTCCCCTGAGCAACACTGATGCTTTGTATCCAGTGCTTCGCCATCCAGACAGGAAGATGTGAAGGTCCTGAGCACAGTCACAGTTAGGATAAGGAAAGCAGAAAAGTGTGGAGGAGACAAAAATAATGGGATTTTGTCAAAACATTAATTACAGGAGTGTGAGAGGTGTCCCCTGAATGGGCAGGGAGGAATGACCTGCTGCTAACTCAGAACAGATCCATAGATGATCTCACTATTGTGCCTGCTGCTATTAACCAACAGCATCTGACATGTGCAAACACAATATCCTCTTCTCCAGGAGAGAAGGGGAGAAACCAGTGAGAGATAATTGGAACCCTCCTATGAATGATCAAATTCTTTACAACTTTCCTTTGGTGCCAGGGTTGATGGAGTCATTAATTCAGCCCATTAGCACCCAACACCCAAATGAAGAGCAAGAAAGAGTATCATGAAGACGGTCCAGGATTAATGCCTGGTCCTCATCCCCTAGTCAATTGCTCCTTGCCACAGTAAATAATAATCCCTCAAATACGGACACTTTGAAACTGTCCTAATCAAAGTGCAAGGTCCCACTTGTCTACATGTCAGCTTGCTCCAGGAGATCCCTCCTGAAGCTTTCAAGATCTTAAAGGAAAATGTGCTGTCCCAGTCATTCATTGGCTGGTGCTGCCAGAATGAAGAACTCTGAACAAAGCTGGACTTTATCCCTCCAAACCACAATGCCCAGCCCTGGACATTCCCCTGGCTTCTAGGTCTGTGCTGCCTTCTTTTCTATCTCTGCTCCAAACTTCCATCAAGCAGTTGAAAACTCCTTATCAGCCCAGTATGGACAGCCTGAGACTGTCTGTGTGGAGAGGATGGCAGCTCCCTGCCTAGTTCTAAGGATTTTATAGTTAGAGAAGACTCTGGTAGCATGGGAAAGCCCTCCTCAAACAATGACGAAGTGCCCATTTGATGAGACCCTGGTCCCTGACCTTCAGTCCCCTGGCAGCATCCCAGCATATCCCAAAATGAAATGCTGCTGCACAGTGGGATTGGAAAAGTTAGCCAAGGTTTGGTGTAGACTATCACTGTCCGTAGAGTCCATCCAGAGTGATAACCTGGGGGGACAGAGACAAATCAGCTGCCCCCTAGCTGACTCTGCCTGCTTTGATTCAATCTGTCCTCTTAAAACCAAAGAGTCTGCTTTCCAATGGTCACAGAGGTTTATCTTTCCTGTAGTCTGGCTGAGGTGGTGTCCAAACTGAGAATACTGAGACCACCAAAAAAGTGTTCCCCACACATAGGTGGAGTGGGTGGTATTTAAAGCCTTTGCCTTCTCCTTGGCATGAGCAGCTCTCATGGGAACAGCCTCTGGAGGCAGAGGCTTCCTCAAATGTGGATAGACAAGCAGCAGCTTTCAACTTGCCAAAACTCAGAGCTCATTGAGCCACTATTCAGTCCCTAGGTCACTGTACATGGCATTCTCCACATCTGTAACCAGGTAACATAATTAATCGTTGGTGCAAATTGCTCATGTGCAATGGTCAGGGACTCAGACCCAGAGTGCTTGTGAGTAACTCCATCCTAGTGATTACTTTGGGGTGATGGAGAAACAGAGAGGTCTGAAGTAACAAAATACTCAGTTCTCCAAGGTACCAGCCTTCCTGACACTGGCCAGCTCTTGGACCAGCATAGCCACCTGCTGCTAGTCCACATCTCTGAGCATACTCAGTACCTTTCTCACAGCCTAGTTCTCCTCCATTCTTTATGACACTGAACAACCCACACCCCACACAGCAACAGTGGATTTTCTGCAGGGCTGGAATACATCCCCTTTACTGCACTGTTTGTTGCATATTGTTATCAACCTGGTCATTCAAACCCAAACTCATTCCTACTGAGCTTGCCGGGCCAGATGGTAAGAGTATGTCGTATGAAGGGTCCTGTGCAGTATCAAAAGGTGAGTGAGTTACAAACCATGTCACCAGCAGGTACGTTCCCCACTGCTCTGGACTTGATTGAAAGCTGGGTTTACAAGGGCTGTGCATTGAACGTGGCCAAGTAACTCAAGGAAGGATGACTGGGGGTCAAGTGTACAAGGCTGGGTCTTTTTTTTTTTTGAAAGCAGCAGCACTAAAAAGGCCTTAGACAATTGTGGAAACAACTTGAGCTGAGCATAAGCTTCCAGGACAAAGGAGAGCTTAGGTGGCAAACAGTCTTAGTGGCTTTAGCAGAGGGACAGTGAATAGAGGAGAAGCCTATCCCTGAGCATGGCAGGAGCAAGCCCATCACTGCCATATGGGCACAGCTCCCTTGTTTGCACTTCAATGAATTTTTTGGCAACATGGAGGAAACAAAGGAGAGGGCATAAGTACAAGTCAGGGTCTAGAAAAGCTGCCTCCAAGCAAGAAGCAGCAGCAGCTTTGGGTTATCAGAGAGATGCTCAAGGTGTGCCCAGCTGCTCACATGCAAGGAGGTGTTTGAGAGCAAGTAGGTTTTGGTTCTGCAGAGAACAGATGCAGCAGACACATATGCTTTGCAGCAGGGAAAGCAATAAAATATAGGAACAAGTGACTTGGGGACCTGGTAGAACACTGCTTCTCTGGGCTTAAGGCTGACTGTCCCACTTTCAAAGCCCTGTCCTGGGTTTAGCCATAGATCTGAGCTTGAAGCAGGGGATGCACTACCACAATCCTACAGCAAGTTCCTGGCAGAAGGACAGATCAGTGCATCAGAGCTGTCTCTCTGTGCCACAGTCTCTACCTTGCACTGAGCAGGGAACAAATAGCTTAGGAGGGTGTGCAGCAGACACACTGGTTTTTTGTTTTTTTTTTCAGACAGAGCCTTAGATAAAGAATGGAGTCAGGATTAATGCAGCTGCTGCCCTCAGGCCAACTGCACTACACGCTTGTCTGCTGGAGCAAAACATTCAGGCCTGACCACCTTTGTCTAGCAACTGATCTAAAGGCTTATCCCTCCCCAAATACATGGCCCCCTGGCCTGGCTTGAATTGTGTGTCTTCTCCAGCACCTGCCATTCATCTGAGCATGTCTCCAATGGCTGATTTTAAGGGTCTGGAAGCCCTCCTGGTATGGCAGGGTCTGGGGCTGATATTCTGACCCTACAGCTATCTCCCCAGTACTGTTATCAATCTGGCATGGCCTCAGACTTTGTTGAGGCCAGTGCTGTCCATCAGAGTTTGTAGGGAAGAAACTGCTGGGACAGCAGCCCTGCCAGGGCTCAAGGGGCATCCATCTTCCTGGGAGTCCTTCCTCACCCCCATGGGAACCCCAGGTCTTCAGGGCCTGAGCCACTGGACTGTCATTCCTGAGCTCTTCCAGAGGCACTCTCAGTATCACACAAAGCCAGCTCCCTTCACTTCCTCATGTGCATGCCCTGCCCTGCCCCACAGTCTGCCCCAGTCTGCATTCAGGAGCACTCCAGCAGTACAGGGATGTCTCTGCATCCATCCTTGAGGTCAGCCATAAGCAAAATAGGTCTTTGAGAGACAAACACCAAGAAAAGTCCAAGTAACTTCAAAATACAACTAGTGGAGTTATGGGGCACAAAGAAAAATTGAGGTCACTCATCCCACTTTGGATGAGTGGGACATGTCCCACTTGGGACATGACATGGGTCAGCGCAAATCACAGAAACTGAAATGCATGTCCCATATGTGTTTTGGATGCGTCCCAGCTGACAGACTGTTGATATTGGATTAATTTGTCCCCCACGGCTTTATCTGCTCGCTTTTCTGAGCCTTTAATGCACCTGGATTTTACCAACCCTGCATGTCAGTGAGTGCTACTGTTTAGTTACATACAGTAGAAAGACCCTTCCTTTAGCTGGATTTACACCTGCTGACACCTCCCCTTGGCAAATCAGCTTCTTCACCTGTTCTAACTTATAAAATTTCATTCTTGCTCAGGCTGTGACAAAATAAGACCTTTTAGTGATGGAGCTTTTGGAAATCCAAGGACACTTTTCTAAGTGATTCTCCCTGATTTGCATATGTTTTTTCCTTCAGCTTGCTGCCCTGGAGATGCACCACCTCTACAGCAAGCAGTCATCACAACCTTCTTCCAGGTGAATATGCACATGTCTATTAATACAATTTTCTATTATAATATTGATACTTTGCTCGGTGACCTTTAGTTTCCTAGGTTTTTATTTCAAAAACCTGGTATCATATTTACATGTCTTCTGGGACAGAAATTTAGACAGCAGGGCCCACTGAACACCTAACTTGGCTCCAGCCATGGTGAGTTCCATATGCTCTGGTGATTTTCTGTACCATTTATCAGCTAGTTTTTAAACTTTCACACTTGACTCCTTGACACCAGGCAATTTCTTGTCTCTTTTTTCCTGGGAGGCAGTGCTGCAAACTCCAGAGACAGGCAGGGGTTTCCCACACACCTGTGATCATCTCTTCCAGTGGTGGGCATAGGGCATCACCCTGCCCAGGAAGCATCACTGCTGGGATACCTAAAACCCTTCCCTTGAGAAACAAGCCACAGCATCTCCTTGGATTGGCTGTGGGACCAGGTGCCATTCCACAGGGCAGGAACAGGTCTCTACCTATTCTGGGGGAGCAGGATACACCTCAACACAGAAAAGGACAATTTCCAGGTGCAGATTTCAGCAATTCTCCTGCTCCAGGGGCCAGCCTGTTCATATACCCTGTTTACCCCATCTCACCACACTGCCTGCAATATTTCAGGGTGGTAAGGTAAGAGCACACCTATGCACGTGGCTCACACTGCAGAAAAGTCTGGGTGTGCAAGGTGTGCATGTGACCCATCACCTATGGATTTCATAGCCCTCAGTGATCCAGGCAGGGAATTATCCAGGTCCAGCCTGTGCTCACACCTCTCCATGGCTATTACCACAGCAAAGTGAGTTTTTCCCATCCCAGGACCAACATTAGCCTGCAGAAAACCCTTCCTCTCCTTCCCCATGGACAGGGGTTTAGCACTGGCCCACCAGATCCCTAGGAGTAGAGCAGGTGAAGCCAAATACTTTTATTAATCCCAGCTCTGAAGAGCTGTTCTCAGATTACAGACGATGTAAATGGGATCTATGTTCCAGGGTGATCAGGCTTCCTGGAATTTCTGCAGGATCTGTTATCTGTTCCTGTGACCATCTACAGCTGAATGCACTGGTATGGCCCAAGTCCAAAATGCCCCCATCTTCTCAGCACCCAATCTGAGGTCTTTGAGTGAAGCATGGCTGGCAGCAGAAAAACTACCTTGCAGCCTCACACATGGATCTCCTAACTGAGCAGCTCAGAGCACCTCAGAAACCTGATCTCCGCAGCCTTTCATGGCCCAGACAAGAAGAGACAAAGAGCTCTCGGCCACCGGACGTGCCGAGTGTGACTCCCTGACTTATATCCAGCCACAACCTGACACTGACCACATGGATTCGTTTAGGGTTGACTCAGCTCCGTAGCATCACTTAGAACTTGCAGCACTCCTGAAATGTCCCTGAGCTATCCTATCCCTGGAGGAGTGTCTTAGATCAGGAGGAATCCTCATGTTGCAGCCTGTTCTTTCCTAGTAGGTCTCACGACGCCTTGGGATTTTATGCGACACTCTGGGCTGGGCTGATAGTGGAAGATTGTTCTTTGATGAAGGCAAAAGGAACTGCAGTAAGCAAACGGCTCAAACCATGTGAATCCAGACAATTAATATCTCTCCACATTGCTTGCAGAAGATACTGCACTCCACTGCAGTGCAGACTACAGTATTTCCTTCCCATCACTACTAATGCTGGCTTCCTGAACAAAGTCTTAGGGCTTGCAGGCATCACTGCAGGACTTCAGGGGGGCATTCAGGCTGGCATATACACCCTATTCACAGGCTCCACAGCTGCCCAAAGGGCAGCTTTCAAGCTTCTGAGTACCTTCTCCTTTCCCAGCCACCTATGTTACAGCAGCAGAGATGAGCAGAGAGGCTGTCTGTCACCCAGCCATCTCTTTTAAGGACCAGCAGATGCAGTTCTGCCAGCTGAAGGACACCATTGCATATGCATGAAAAATGCTTCACAGAGCACTTGTGTCTAGTCTTGGGCCTGACTGGAGTAGCAGCTCACAGGCAGGAGGATGGAGCTGAGTAGCCATGGTTCACAGAGTGACCTCATCCCTGCTCTGCATTACAGTCACTAACACCAATAGCACTGCACTTGTGATTCCAACCTGGGATCACGCCCTGAGTCCCTTCTGGCATCAGTTACCTCCATGAAGGCCACAGTGCTACTCTGTTTCCCTGCCCAGCTCATACCTGGTCATTCATGGTCTTGTACTTGTTGCTTCCCTACAAAAGACTCTGCTTGCCCATGAATTCATCTCTCTGCTTTCCAGCCTGAGAATCTGCAGACAGAAAGAACTGCCAGGGAACCATGGAGAAATCATCCTCTTTATCCCATTGTCCACCATCCTGCAGCCCTGACACTACATTTCTCCAGCGTTTCCAGCCATTATATACATGGTGACATACATCCCTAGTTTTTCCTCTGGGTATCCTTGGATTAGCCTAAGTAGTTGCCTGACAGCACAGCCAGCCTGTCCTCTCATGTAAAATGCTGCTCAGGGCTTCACACATCAATAGATAGCAATTACCCACATGAAAAATTACAGAAAAGTCCATGGACAGACAGTCACTTTGATCTGTGCTTCCTGCTCCTCAGCAAAGCATGTTCTTTGCTAGGTTTGCAGGGGAGAAAACATTTTTATGTGCAAGAAGCTGTGTCTGCCAATAGCAGCCTCAGCAGCATGAGACATAAATCTTATGGCAGAGCCTCCTTAGCCAGATGAAACCATCCTGTGAGGACCCTGTCTGCTGTTCCTGGGACAAAATCCCACAGGAGGAGCTGGAAACACTTCATCGGAGCTTTCCAAGAAAACAGGGGGTCCAGCTCCCCTACCAGCAAGCTCTGGTGCTTGCTGTAGACCCTGATTACCTCAGCATCTGAGCGGTGTTTCTAGGAGAGCACCATCCTCACCACTGCTATCTGGCTCCCAGGGAATGATCTGTGTCCTGAGGAATGTGGCTCTTGAACTAAACTCCAAAGGCTTTTCCAAGCCTTTCAATACCAAACACAAGGACCGAGAAGGGGGTGAGTGCTCCCTGAGGAGGCGAGAGCAGTGGGGTGGGATTAGAGCTGGCACTAACACCCTGCTCTCCACAGCAGCATCTGAGCAGCACAGAGAGAGGTCAGGATTAGGGGAAATCCTTTGAGACCAAAGGAGAGTTAAGCAGCTCTCTCCTTGCACACACACAGAGGGTACCTCCAAACCTCCACCAAGGAAAAGGTCATGCTGGGAGCAGAAGTCAAGGGGCAGTCTTTGTCCCTTTGATTCAAAGCAGAGAGCAATTAGGTGATGGACTTAGAGCCTAGGGAGCACCACTCCATGCCTCCACAGGGATCTTTCTGTTTCTCTGCTTTCTTTCATTCTCCAGCCCAGCTCCTAAATCCATCTGAGCTAGGCCTTTAATTGAATTAGCCCAGCACCTTTCACTGGGAACAACTTAAGATGGTTTCAATAGAGTGATTGCTTTTTACAGCCCCAGGACAAGTTTGACAGCAATCACAAAGAGTGGTTTAACAGTTTAACACTGAGAAATTTATCCTGGGTGCCCGTTACACCTAATGTACAGTAGGTGCTCTTAAAAAATCAGCCTGTGGAGCCCTGTAGCAACCTGGAATCACAGGTTTCATAAAAAACACACACATATTTTGTGATAAGACAGATCTTGAAGACAGGAATGCCAAATGGACAAATCACTGCCTCCAGTCTCTGCAACTCTGAGGACCTGATGGCTTATGTTTGCAACACTGGACATCATTTATAGGCTGCTTTGGATACAACTTTGGACACCCTGGCACCCCTCAAGCTCCAGAGACACAAGGCTGCCAGGCAAGCACTGTCGATAATGCAGCCTCTTGTGGGCTGGGAAGGTGCTGCTGTCCCCATATCCTACTCCATCCTTCTCCACTCCAGTGGTAGCTTCTCCACCCCTGTATAGATGCAGGCACCAACTGCTGCCAGGTCTTTGGGAAGGTGGTATCAAACCAGCCTTACACTGCTTCCTTCTCTTTGTTTCCTATGATCCTTGCCTGTCAGTGCTTAATAATGAATGCACCACTACCTGTGATGGACACAGGGTGCTCACTCTGCGCAAGTCAGCAGCTTCACTCTGATCAGATCACAATCTCTGCTCAAATTTGGTCAAGGATGGGAGTTCTCCCATTGTCTGGGAATGGCCACAGAGCCACTCCATGCCCATTTCCATTTTCAGGTCAGGTCTGAGAGGCTAAGTGCCCTGCAGGGCCAAAGGAAAATGCTCCAAATAGCTCACAAGAACGAGTCTCATTTTCACCTAGAGATTTCATTCCCAGTGCTGTCTGTTTGCATTCATCCCATGAGCTGGAGCTGGTAACATGGATGCACCAAGGAAATTTTTAACGAGAGCAAGGAACAGGTAGACCAAACTATGCAACTGATTATCCCATTAACAGGCTGAAAACATCACTTTCTTTATCCCAGCCTAGAGCTGTTTGGTGTAAACCTCTTCTATCTCTGCTCAGGCTCCACTGTGTGGTCTTGCGCTCTGGACCCTTGTCCCCATGTCCCAGAGGGGACAGTGCTGAAAGGTGAGTGGGTCTAATGGGATTTAGAAGCATTTGCAAGTGTGATTATACACCTTATGACAGGGAGTGACACATGGGTCATTGGCATCTAAGGACTGAGAGGACCCCCCAACCCAGTCTTTCCTTTTGTCTAGGTATGTGAGAGCCAAGAGCAGGTAGATGAAGAAAAGGGGGAAAACATGGCAGATTCAAGGGATTTCACTCTCAACCTGCCAAAACATTGTCTCCACATTTCCTCCAAGGCTGAGATACACAATCCAACATCCATCCTGCCACTTAGGTGACAGCAGTGGCATCTTACCCTACTCCTCCCAGCACCTTGGACAAGATTTGAAGGTGGGTTTGGCTGGAGATTAAAGGCAAAAAGTAGTAATAGGATTGAAGGCAAACAATAGTAGTAGGATCATTGGCCAAACAGATGTTCCCATATGACAAAACAATATTTGCAGGGGTGGAAGTATGGCTGATGCACCTGAAAAGCCCAATATGACTTGAGCAGTTTGTCATGTTATAAACTCAAAGGCAGTTGACATGCCAGATGAATTATTGCTGTGTTTGTCACAGGAAGGTTATGGAATATATATAAGAGCTCCATTTTATATAAAGACACGACATAGATCTGCTCCCGGTCCCCCTGTGCATGTTCACAGCAGTGGGAAAATCTCACCCATGTAAGCAGAGAAGTGCCTAGGCACAACCTCCTTTCAGTATCGGACAGACTAGAAATATTTTTGCCTCCTGATACTCCTACAGTATTTTTTCCAATCCCTACTGTGGAAAAAACAAACAAACAAAAAAGAAGCAAACAAACAAAAAAAACCCCCACCATCCAGATCTCTTTTTGTTAAGCTGTGGAAATGCACTTAAAGTAAGTGTAAAGTAGAAACTATTATCACCTAGAAACTTCTCCAGAACCCCTGAGGGCACAAATTCAGGAGCTGAATTAAGCTATAGGGCACATCCCTATCTAATACCTTAGCTCCAGCCCACTTTCCTGCTGTCTCTCAGTTAATGCACACTTGAGTAATTACAGATGTTCTGGGCAAACTGCAGGTTATGCCTCTAGCTGCAGTTTGTGATTTGCAAGGCAGCATACGTACAAGTAAAAATACTCACAAAAAAGCAATTTGCAAATTATTTTACATGGTTAATTACAGAAATGAATATAAAATGTAGGTTAGATGGGCCCTCTGGAGGTCTCTCATCCAAACCCCTTCTCAACGCGTGGCTAAATTTGTATTTAGATCTGATTGCTCAGAACTAGGCTTTGTCTAGGGTGCCAAAATTTTCCAGTGATGGAGATGGTTTTTGGTCACAGCCTCTCAGGGTCTCTTTCCACTGCTTCACACTTCCAGGATGAAGACATTTTCTCTTACATCCCATCAGAGTTTCTCTCGGTGAAACATGTTCTCATGTTTCTCTGTGCACCTGAGCTGGCTTTTTCCTTTCTGCACAGGTGTCTTTAGTAGTAGCACAGGCAGTTAAATCCCCACCAAGCTCCTCTTCTCCAAATGCAGCAAACCTGTGTCCTTCTACTCAAATATCACGTCCTCCAGCCGCCAACCACCTCTGTGGCCCTCAGCTGGACCCACCTCAGTTTGCAGACCCCTTTCTTCTGTAGAAGAGCCATAATGGGGGATAAGATCCTATTTGTTCTTCCCAGCTTCCTGTTGCATGAGGATACTCCATCCCAGGATCTGCATTTGCCCCACACCTCATAAATTTTCTGCCAGCCTCCTGAGCATGTCAGTGTTCCTCTAAACAGCTCTGACCTCCAGTATATTTACCACTTCCCTCAATGTGGTGTCACCCTCAAACTTTCAATGGTTGCATTCTCTCTGCTCATTTAGATCACAGCAACACAGAGTATCTTAATTTTGTTATCCTAAAAAGGAAATCTAGACTTTTCCAAATTAAAAAAAAAGGCCTGTGATTTTGAGGAAGCACAGTGTTGGTCAGTGCATTGCCCAGCCATTCCTTTGGCAAACAGGGATGGGATGGTTTCATTGAGCAGTGGGACCAGCCTGCCCTCCACAAGCACAAATAAAAGGGTGAAACGTCCCACCAACTTGAAAGTCCACAAGTCCTTAAAATGCTGCAAAGGAAATAAATACCCATCAGATGTACAACATGGAGGATAGGTTGGAGGGTAGGATGCTGAGGGGAAGCAATTTATCAGGAGTGCATAAGGAGGCATGCTGGCTGATCTTTCAGACTATGGTGACCTCAGCAAGAGACCTTGGTTCATGCATTTCTTCCGCCATAGAGTGGTGGGGTACTGAACAGACTCACCAGCGAATGGTCATGGCCCAAGGCTGCCAGATCTCCAGGAGCCTTTGCACAATGCTGTCAGGCACAGGGTGGTGTTGTTGGGATGTCCTGGGCAGGGCCAGGAGTTGGACTCAATGATCCTTTTGGGTACCTTCCAGCACAGGATATTTCATTGTTCTTATTCTTGACAGGTTACAGCTTGGCTTCATCTCTGAGGAACTAAGATTGTACAGAGTCCAAGAAACTGCTGGACTGCAGCTCCTTTGGTATCACTAGGAAAAAAACAGTTCAAGATGGGCAGCACGGCCTTTTCTATCCTCTCCTCATGGAGGAAAAAAAAGGGGGTCTTAAAGCACAACAGGATCTGGGAACCAGAGACAGTCACAGACAGTAGGAGAAGACCTAAAAGGTTCAAAGGTGCAAAGATTAAACACCCCACCCCTCTTAGGATTTCTTTAGCTCTTTCCATGGTGCAGACGTCTTCAGGCTGCTAGCACATTGCATTATACTGACAGCAACATGTCAATGAGACCTGTCACAGTTCTGCCTTCTCCAATACCGACAGTGTTACCAAAACATGTGCCATTGCCTTCTGAATGCTCACACCACTCCCTGTCCAGATGCCAGTACCCCCAGGCAGAAGCAACAGCCCCTGCACATCCGCACAGTGAGCAGGGTGCACGCAGCACGGTGAGCAGGGTGCAGGCAGAGAGGTGAGCAGGGTGCACGCAGCAGGGTGAGCAGGGTGCACGCAGCAGGGTGCAGGCAGCAGGGTGAGCAGGGTGCAGGCAGAGAGGTGAGCAGGGTGCAGGCAGCAGGGTGAGCAGGGTGCAGGCAGAGAGGTGAGCAGGGTGCACGCAGCAGGGTGAGCAGGGTGCACGCAGCAGGGTGAGCAGGGTGCAGGCAGAGAGGTGAGCAGGGTGCACGCAGCAGGGTGAGCAGGGTGCACGCAGCAGGGTGAGCAGGGTGCAGGCAGCAGGGTGCAGGCAGCAGGGTGAGCAGGGTGCAGGCAGCAGGGTGCAAGCAGCAGGGTGAGCAGGGTGTACACAGCAGGGTGAGCAGGGTGCACACAGCACGGTGAGCAGGGTGCACGCAGCAGGGTGAGCAGGGTGCACGCAGCACGGTGAGCAGGGTGCAGGCAGAGAGGTGAGCAGGGTGCACACAGCACGGTGAGCAGGGTGCACACAGCACGGTGAGCAGGGTGCACACAGCACGGTGAGCAGGGTGCACACAGCAGGGTGAGCAGGGTGCAGGCAGAGAGGTGAGCAGGGTGCACGCAGCAGGGTGAGCAGGGTGCAGGCAGCAGGGTGAGCAGGGTGCAGGCAGCAGGGTGAGCAGGGTGCAGGCAGCAGGGTGAGCAGGGTGCAGGCAGCAGGGTGCACACAGCAGGGTGAGCAGGGTGCAGGCAGCAGCTAGCCGGTGGCAGGGGCCCACAGCCGGGCAGCCCACAACTGAGAGCTGTCAGGCAGCTGCCTGTCAGGGTGGCCTGGGCCAGCCCCTGTGGCAGGGATATCAAAGGTGGAGGGCGGGAGGCAGGCAATAATCTATTTTGGACTGAGCAGGAAGGATCTTTTAGAGGAGAGTGGCTGAGCAGAGGATGACAGAGCCTGCTGGAGGAAGAGGGAGGTTTGCAAGGAGGAAGAACCTGCATCATTGCAGCAGAGCATGTATTACAATGTGTGGGGAATCTAGGCTCTTCTCCACCAGTCTGGTAACCACAAGACACTTCCCACACATGTTCAGGACAGGACAACATGGGGCACTGAAACTTTTTCATGCCATACCAGACTGTTGTGCAGGGTGGGGTAACCCCAAAGAGCCTGGGTCTGGCCAGGGCTAAGGCTCCACAAATAACCTCAGAAACTAAGAAGGCAGCCAAAACATGTAGTATAATCACAGATAAACACATAATCTACTCAGGTTACATTGAGGGGAAATCACAGGGTGATCCCACAAGCAGACAGAAGAGAGCAACAACAAGCAAAAGGGAGAAAGGAAAATCCAACGGGAAAGACAAAAGCAAGTAAGTAAAACATGAGGGCTGCTGCTCTTCTCTTGACCCTCTCCTTGGTTTCCCTGCCTGGGAAACTACATCCTTGCAAATTTTGCAAGGAGGAGCTCAGAAACTGGTAGTATGAAGCTCAGGCAGGAGCTCCACCAAGAATCTGCCTGACAGACATCTTTGCTAAGGTGGATGGAGAAGTGCATGGAGATTTACTATTGGCACCCAGGGCAAAGAGAGATGCTGGCAAAGCTCTGCACTCCAGCAATATGCTCTGCAGGTCACTTCAGTTGCAAAAAAACAAGGGTTTTGGAAATACTGTGGAAATAGCCATACTGGTGGAGAGCTTCTGTTCCCCCTGCAAATCACAATTTACACAGTAAGAAGCCAAAAGGATGCCATGAGCTGGACTGAGTGGAGACCACCACTCTCATCCAGGGAAGACTTTTCAGAGAACATGGGACTGAAGATGTGCAGATGGTCCAGAGTAAAAAAACTACAGGCATTTCCTCCTTTCCTGCCAGAACCTCCTGCCCAGCTCTGTGTGGGTCTGCAGGAGCCAATTCACAGATGAGTACAGGCACAGGAATGCAGTGGGAGTAGAGACTTCTTTGAAGATTCCAGCCACAGCATGACCAGTGGGAATGCATAGCTGGAGAGGATGAGCTGGGAGATAGCCTCTGCTTACGAGATTTGCCATGAAATCAGTTCCTGGGAACATTCTGCCAACCAGCCACAGCTTTCCCAGCAGGGGTAAACATCCACCAAAACAAAAGATTTTGTTTTTCTTTCAGAGACATGGCAGTAAATGCAATACAAGTAATATCTTCACACATTGTGCTTCTGCGCCAGCCCTCCATGGCCTGGGTGAGCTTCAGCAGGTCCTTGTAGGGTGAATGGTGAGGGGTGCTTCCTGGAGAAGTCCTTCCCAAAAAAAAAGAGCATCTGGCATTAAACACCCCACTTCTCTTGGGGTTCCCTTAGTCTTTCCATGGTGCAGAGGTCTTCAGACTGCCAGTACATTTTATTATCCCAACAGCAACACCTCAGTAAGACGTGTCACAGTACTGCTTTTTCTGATACCTGGCAATGTTACCAAAACACAGACACACTAGAGAGTTAGGCTTAGCTTTTAAGGGACCCATCTGATTAAGGGACCCATCTGAGACAAAAAAGGTGATAAGTAAAAACACGTGAAGTTGCTGACTCTTTTGGCACTTGAGGGCTAAATATCTGTCCAGGTGTAACCCATTTAGCTGCAGCCCAGACACCAGAGCAGGAGGCTCAATAACTCACAATAAAACAGCCTCTCACCCTAGAAAACCTGGTCCTACCATTGGGTGCATAATCCTGTTCCTCTACATGCCACTGTGGGATCCTTGAATCATAGAATAATAGAATATCCTGACTTGGAAGTGGCACATAAGAATCATTGAGTCCAATTCTTAGCCCTGCAGAGGACAACCCCAAGAATCCCACCATGTGCCTGACAGCAATTTCCAAATGCTCTTTGAGCTCTGGCAGGCTGGACTCTGGACTGCCCTTCCATCAAAATGCTCTGTTCCAGGTGCTCCAGAGGAAGCCAGAACATTCTCCATGTCAGGAAAATGGGTGGCCTGCATGAGAGTAAGCCATGCTCTTCTGGGACACAGCTGCAGCAAGGCTGCTCAGACCCATTTCCTCTGCTGTGCTAACAGATATACAAAAAAAACCCCACCAGAATATACAGAATATCCCTGAACCAGCAGCCAAACATCCCTCCTGTTAAATGCATGACCTCTCTGCATTACCAGTTTTCTGTAGAGACCACACATAATGCCCGTGGATAAATCTTGCCTCTCTGGTTTCCTTTTCCATGAGGCTGGCTCACACCTTCCCCTGCTCTTCACAGGCCATCATGCCCTGAGAGAAAAAGAAAAACCTACTGCTTTGCTTCCCTCCCAGGACAACCACAAAGACCAAAGCCTCAGCCCCGTCGTGTGCCCCTGCAGCCTGGGCAGTGCTTAGGAAGCTCCAGCATCCATGCTGAAGGATACTTGTGAAAGAAGAAGCAGTTCCTTTTTGCCTGTCTCTGGAAAGACAGGGCATTGGGAAAGCTTTCCCCAACATGTCCATAAGTGCAGGCTTCTTGTCCTTTTCCTGAAGGCATCCTTGACCTCCAGCCCACCCTCCACGGGACAGAAGATCAGAGCATGCAGCCAGAATCACCCTAGATGGGTCTGAACCCTGTGGGAAATTTATAAGGAAAGAGAATGTGGAAGGATGTCAGATACTGGGGTATGTGGATGCACCTGGTCAGAAAACTGGAGATACGAGGAGAGTTCTGTGGGTGGACTGGAACCTGAGAGCTGAAAGGAGGAGACAGAGGGAGCATGGAAGGTCCCATCTGGCAAAGGGACAGAGGTTGCTGGTGGCCTGTGCAAACACAAGAGGAGATGTTGGCAGAGAGAGGTGGCAGGGAGTCCTGCCAGGGTCTGTGACTGGAAAAAGGGCTGCCATGTCCCCAGGAGGGCAGGCAGCTCCCAATCACACAGACAGCAATACAGGATTTGCATGGAAATATCTCCTGATCAAGGGTTGTGAGGCCAGTGAGAGTACCTTCACAGCCTAAATCCTGAGTAGAGGGGCTGTAGAGACCATGAGATAGCCGGTATCAGGGCCGGTATCAGGGGCTAACAAGGTCACAATAGACACCATGCTCCCCTGACCTGAGAAGCTATTATTGCTCCAAGTTAATATTTCCTATGGTCCAGATCCCTACCTCTTTCCTCCAGGATCTTGCTCTCCGCAGCAACTCCTATCTGCTGCACCAGAAGCATGTGACTTCTCAAAGGAAGGGACCCAAGGTCACTGGTAGCATCCCAGGAAGTGGAGCAGTTTGAGGAAGGTTGAAGAACTAGCTCCTAAAAAAAACTGGGAGGCAGGGGAGCTTCCTAAATGCACACCCCCCCCCACCCCCCCACCCCACCCCCCGTCCACCCCATCCATCTAGTGCATCTCCCAGAGGCTCTCGGCATGCTGTCATGGAGGGCTGGGAAAGCCTTGACTCACACATGCTACCCAGAGTAGACTCCCAGCTCACTTTCACCTGTTTCTGATAAGCTCACTAATCCATCCCCATAATTATTCTTTATTAATGGATGCTGCTGTGTTCATTACATGCCTTAATTAGTGTTTTGTGAGCAAATTCAAGGGGGTAAGAAGCATGTCACATTTTCCAGTGGGGGCTTTGCATAAAACTAGTACCAAAATAACTTTGTCTGTGAAGCTGGAGTTCCTATTTCACCCTGGCCATGAG